CAGCATATAGTGTGTGTGTGTGTGTGTGTGTGTGTGTGTGTGTGTGTGTGTGTGTGTGTATGTGTGTGTATTATACAGCAGGAGAACAATGTAAGAAGATATCATTGAATACATGGTCATCTCATGACTGAAGGTCTCATGGAGAACTGGGTAGCTAGTGAAGGCTGGGCCTTGGGGAAGCAAGAGTCCCAGTGTAGACAGGCTCAGGAGGCAGAGCTTCCCTTTTTTGAGAGGAAATAAGAAATAGGATCAGGGATGAGTATGTTTGTGTATGTGCGTGTTGGCAGCAGGAGAGGAGTGTTGTGGGTGGCAGTGGCAGAGGGTTGAGTTTAGGATAGATTTAAGGGGAATAACCTATCTTGAGAAAAGAGTTTGTTGTTAGGTAGCAGATGCTGAATTTCCAGCAGATAGTGTAGTGTCAACGGTCTTTACTAGTTGAGGGAATTTGGATCCAAGCCAGTAGCTGGCAGTCATTTGCTTGAGGTCACACACCATGCTAGGGGGATGTGGTAGTCCCTTGGATGTGCGTGGGGAAGAGGCAAGAGGCTGGGAGGCCCCTAGTTAGGCTTTTGCAAGGGTTCAGTCTGAATTTACGTGGAAGTAGTGCATTTGGGGAAAAAAAAGATATCGGTAGGGCTTGATGCTGTGAGGTGGGCAAGGAATTAAAATTATTATGTAGGTCTGTTGAGAGAAAATGTCTATTTGTAAGCAAGAAAAGTTGAGGTTGTCAGTTGGGGTAAGAACTGCAGAATCTTTGGCAAGCGTTGCTTGTGGGATGGGTGGCTGACAACTTTAGCCAGGGCTGTGGTGGAAAATTGCTACTGGGCTCTCAGGTTCTCGGTGATTCTCTCCTTTTGACGAAACATTGTGACGTGAGTTCAGTAAAGGAGGAAACGGGTAGTGGGGATTGCACATTGAAAGTGGTGGTGGACTCTTCCTGTAGCACCAAACTGGGAGAGCAAAACTGGGTTTTGCATTTTGTCTTTTGGTTTCTGGCCCAGGCAGCTGCAGACCAGGCTGTGGTGGGGTGGGGCAGAGTTTGACACCATCTCCTGGGGGCTACTCATTTAACATTGTTTCCGTAGCATTCTGTCCTCTCCCGGAAGTTTGTGGAGGTGATGACAAAGTACAACGAGGCTCAGGTGGACTTCCGTGAACGCAGCAAAGGGCGCATCCAGCGGCAGCTTGAAATTAGTATGTGTTTGAAGATGGGCCAGTGTCTGTCCCTACCCCTCCCTGCTCGGTGGTTGTCCATCCCAAGTCCTGGGAGAAGCAACAATGACCGTGCTGCTTGGGCCTTCTGCATTCTATTTGGTGTTCAAATACAGGACAGATGGTCTGGGATTGGTATGTCTGTAAAGTGGTATCCTAGATTGAAAAGTGTTCTATTTGTTGATCCAAGGAATTTTATTCTTATGGGATCCAACACTTACCAGTACCTGCTGGGGACACCCACTAAATAGTCGCTCTCCAGAGAACTCATTGTAACGTTTTGCTGTTAAGTGGAAAAGTGCATTTATGACACAAAGGTGTAGTGCTAGTTGCTGTGAAGAATTAAAAAAAATTAATAAAGTTACATTGTTTAGGAATTTAGTGATATGGGAGGGTAGGCCCTACAGGGAAAATGGCTTCAGGTGGGAGAAGTTGTGTGAACAAAGATGTTCTCAAGAAAAAGCAGATGTGTTTGTCCAGGAGTGGCAAGTTGTCCGGGGTCGGAAGGAGGGCGAGTTTGTGAGGGAGGGCCGCCCACAAATTGTGCACTGTCATGAGGGCCTTGGGCTTTGTGGTATGGTGGTTGGGGCTAATAAGCAGTCTGAGCTGAGAAGTAATGGAGTACGTGCTTGGGGTGGGGATTGACTGCTGATAATGTCAAAGGTGGATGGAATTGGGAGAGAAGTCAGAAGAGCCAGCGGGTTGTTGGAGACAGGGCCTGTTTGGGAAAACATTTTGAATGGAGTTATGCTTTGATCTGATATTTGATGTTGTGTTCCTTTTGTCACAAAGCTGGCAAGAAGACAACCGATGAGGAGCTGGAAGAGATGCTGGAGAGTGGTAACCCTACCATCTTCACTTCTGGGGTGAGTGGCGGAGGCACCATGCACAGGAGCTTCACTGCAGTTGTGGCTATGCAGAGGGGGGAGCTTACGTGGGGTGGGGTGTGAGGGTTGTGCAGGGGCAGTCTGTTACTAGCGTGGCTGATGGCCTGTCTGTATGGGGCCTTTTGTAGATCATCGACTCGCAGATTTCTAAGCAAGCCCTCAGTGAGATTGAGGGTCGGCACAAGGATATCGTGAGGCTGGAGAGCAGCATCAAGGAGCTCCATGACATGTTTATGGACATCGCCATGCTGGTGGAGAATCAGGTAGCTAGCAGGGAGAAAGGCACACATTTCCTTGAGAGCATTTTGGAGGTCCAGTGGGGCAGGGAATAGGGTTTTTTTTCACCGTGGAGCAACAAAATTCTAGAGTCTGAGGCAGAGGTGTGCATTCTTAATTATCAAGTGTTGGCATTTGAGCCATCTCAATTTTGTTATTTCGGGTTCACAGTGATTCTAGTTAGTAATGAAGTTTCCTATGTCATGACAAGGACCTAGTTCACCTAGCATTTTTTTATTTTCTCCTTCTTTCCCACCCCACTTTAAAAGTAAATACCTGGGTTCTTGGGCTGCGGCATGTGTAGTTCAGTTGACAGGGTGCCTGCCTAGCATTCAATAGGCCTTGGGTCCAAGCCATCTTCTGGCCCAGATCCACATAAAGCAGGCATAGTGGCATATACCTATAATCTCAGCACTTGGGAGATGGAGGCAGGAGGACCAGGAGCTAAAGGTTATCTTCTAACACAGAGCAAGTCTGAGGGGGCCGCCTGGGCTAAAAAAGAAAAAAGAGTAAGTCTTGCTGACAAAGCCTTGGCAGTCAGCCTATTTATGTGAATTATTTTATTGAAATTTTTTTCCTCCAATTCACCGTAGAACTTAAAAGCAAGCTAATTTTTCCAGTTTTGTTTTGTTTTTATATTTGTGTTTTTCTGAGCATGTTGGCATTTTTTTGCTAAGAATCAACAGTAGGGATGAATGAAGAATTAGTAAAGGAATATTTATAGAAACACTTACGGTACTTGGCAGTTCATCCCAAGGTATGCCTGCTCAGGGGTGGAATTCGGTATTGCTTGCATATGCTCTTCATTTCTGTCAGATAGTTGGTCCCTGGTTCTTGGGATAGAGTTAGAGATCAAGCAGGGCCACGAGGTTGTACAGCCTTCACCAGGAACCTCCAGCTGTTCAGCCATCTGGACAGAACTGGAAACTTGCTTAGGAGGTGGCCCACCGAGCCTCGTTGAAGCCTGGGCACTGGCTGACCAGTTTTCACGTTAGTTCTCTGCCCTTGGTTTGGTACTTTCCTCCTATTCCTCTTTCTGGCCTTTGAGACTCTTTCTCAATCCCTCCATTCCCACTTCTCTTTTTTCCTACCACATTGCCTTGCCGAGGATCTGGTTTGAGTTTCAAGTGATGGTAAGTGCCCTGCTATGTTTATTTGAAAGCCCTGTGCTGACAGGATAGGGTTGAGAAAGGCCTGGGTGGAGGGTGAGGGGAGTTCTCTACTTCAGATTCTCAGGAAGTAACTGGAGTGACCAAACTTTCTTGATAGGAAGCAAAAGCTGGGAAATAGTTGGCAATCTTATTAGAAGACTAGAGTCTGAAGGGGAAGATAAGCATGGGCAAACCCAGCACCTACTGCTTAAGGAGCTTGGGGATTTCTCTTGAAGAGCATAAGTACTTTCTACTGTTGCCAACCTGATACTTTCTGAATACCTTTTATGTGCCAGGTGATACTTACAGTAGTGAATAAACTCATTTAGACTGAATGAACGTGGTTTGGGTCTGAATGGCCAACAGGGGGCCAGCATCCTGGTGATATTCTAAAAATTGGAGACTTTCTTATTTTGGGTCTTCCCTATATGTGTAAAAGATAAGAAAATTAAAGAAAAATGTGGGAGAGGGAATCTCTTTGTGCCTATTTACACATAGTTACTAAGCATCTAGAAAACCTGCTTCAAGGTGTTCAGCCTAGTGCTGATCTGAAGGAAGTAATCCAGGATTTGTGGAATGAGTGACCACTGTCAAGGACTGGGGAACTCTAGGTCAGCACACAGGGAAATGGGCAAGTTTGCTTCACAGAAGGCTGTGTGCTAAGGTTTCTGTATGTGTCTTGGCATGGAAGACTGTCGAGTTCCTTCACCACATTAGCTGGGGCTGTTGTGGGTGAGTTAACAAGTGTGACTTGTGTCTCCTTTTCAGGGTGAGATGTTAGATAACATAGAGTTGAATGTCATGCACACCGTGGACCATGTGGAGAAGGCACGGGATGAAACTAAAAAAGCCATGAAGTATCAGGGTCAAGCTCGGAAGGTGAGGGTTTCCTTCTGTCTTCAGACAAGAGAGTCCATTTTGTTTGCTACTGCGCTTTCTCTCTCCCCTTCCTTCTGTCTGTTTCTGTTGCCGCCACATTTTGCACCTGGGGAAAGGGAGCCATGATTGACCGTATTGAGAACAACATGGACCAGTCAGTGGGCTTTGTGGAGCGGGCTGTGGCAGATACCAAAAAGGCTGTCAAGTATCAGAGCGAAGCCCGGAGGGTGAGCGCCTCAGTCTCTGCTTGTTGTACCTTCTCTTCCTGTCTTTTGTCACCTTTATACCTCTGTCCTTGAGCCCGTGTCTTCCCTCTCTGTCCTAGCCTCTTCCAGACCCTTACCTTAGGCTTTCCTAGAGACTTCCTTCTTCCCGGGTACCTTGCATGGATCTGGCTCTCACATGCTTTTGGCCCAAGAACCAACACTTGAGCACCCCTGTAGGCTGGAGACATGGCCTGGGTCTTGTCACTAATCTCCTGAATGTAGTTGGTGAACCCTTAACCCATCACACAGATCTTTGGTAATGTCTTCCACTGGGTTCCCTCCCCATTCTTTTTCTCTTACTTGAACCTAGCACAGATGCTAATTGTTATGTAAAAGTTACCATGTGTTCATGGAAGCACTTCCTTTCTCTAGAAGAAGCAATTTGAGGGTCAGAGGGTAAGTAGCTGGCTTCAGGCCACTCAGAAGCCCAGGGGGTGGGCCTGGCATTCACAGCCTACTCATCCTCTTTCCGCTGTATCTTTGTGTTCGCTGCCCTCCTGGCCCTATGCTCAAGAACTTCAAAGCTTCTGTCCTCATTGACTATGCACGTCCAGTGATGGCAGCCTCTACCTTTCACTCTTCTTTGTTCCCCGTGGGCTCTGATGTTTTTATTCTTTAGCTCTTTCTCTTCCAACTGCTCTTCCTATTGCTTGTGCAAAACTATTCAGGGAGCCAGCAAGTTAGTTTTCCTCTGAATCTAAATGCTAACTCGCACTTTGGGCACCTGTTCAGTATATGTGTTGGGAAGTATATACTGGACTTTAAGAGGGCAGATGAATACAAGTTGGTAACTAGGACTGTGTCAGAGATATCTTTGTGCTCGTTGTTGAAAAGGCAAACTTGCATGTTTTATGGATTGGCCAAGTGCTGCTTGGAGACCTCATGATACAGATTGCCATGACTGTACCTATGCAAGCCTATGAGCTGAGAGCTCTAGGCGCTCCACATTTCTCCTTGCTGGCTAGGCATGAAGGAATTTAAGAAATGTAAAATATGCATGAGAACATTTTTACGTAGACATGTATTTTTATTTGGATTGAGATTTTTTTTTTCTTGGTAAAAGAGATGAGAAGGGCTGAATGTTAGATGAGTTGCTACTTTATTAACTTTTTTTGTAATGGTTTTTATTTTTGTTTCTTATTCCTTTCTCCAGAAATTGATAATTATCATTGTGGTAGTAGTTGTGTTGCTGAGCATTTTAGCGTTGATTATTGGACTGTCCGTTGGGCTGAAGTAGGAGTGGCCTAAGGGGCTGCTGCACTGAAATGTAAGTAGATGAACGGTTGTGGGGGCCCTGGACCGGCTCCTCCGGAGGCATTAGACTGGGATTTCATAAAGCTACTCTTTTCTAATGACTGTCACAATGTCCTTTAAAATTGTTGGTAACCGTGACTTTTTTTTCATTTCCTTCAAATTCCTCTCTTGGGTTCTGGCTGCAGGGTATTGGTCATGTCTTCTCTGTTTGTAGCCTGAAGATTCTATCCTACTTTGTCTTGTTGCTTGGCACACTTGAGCATCTCATTTTGATGTCCGTACTCAGGGAACCTGGGTAGATGTTGGGTATCATCTGGGAGCTATCTTCTAAATTCTTGGTAGCTTTCACAGACGCTGGGTTTAGCCTTCCGTGTCCTTTTTCAGCATAACTGAAGCTTTATGTTGTGGCTTCAGGCCTTTAAGAGCTATGTTTGTGGCTGAATGGTTGGCTCTTAAATGAGGTACTTGTAACATTTTTAAGTGTTGACTCATGGCAGAGAGTCTGCTAAACACCTTATGTATGTAACAGAATCCTCACAACATTCTTATGAGGCAGTTAGTATTATTTTAGAAGTAGAAAATTTCAAGTCTTAGAGAAGGGTCAAACTCACACAGCTAATAGTGGACCTAGGAGAGTGCTACATCTTAGTTTCTCTTTATAAAATAAGGTAGTGTTTATCATTGTTTATAGGAGAATTCTAGGCTATCAACCAACATTTATTAAGATATAGCTGGCCAGTAATTAGGCTTGACATTGGTGAACATGATAAAGATGACCTAGTAGTCCTTGGGACTTAAGAACTTTCTTTTTTTTCTGAATAAAACAGAGCATATGTCATTTTTAAAAGCTTGTAAGATATAGACAAGTGAAGTTACATTGTAATATTATTTTTCTAAACACGTGGCAGGCTCACACACTCTCGGTTTTGCATAGTTCAGGCTGTATTAACTATATAATGCTTTTTACCCAGTTAGAAAATCCTAAAGATCATTCTTTGTCACTAAGATCTTGTTGTAAATCTAATTCTCAACATGAGGACATTTAGCATTTCCTCAGTGCTGAAGTGTATATTATTTTGCTATCATTAAATGTGATGAGCTTTATATTTTTCTTTTCTCTTTACTGTAAATTCAGAAATTAGATTACTGAGGTAACAAGCATGAACCTCCCTGAGAGGTGATGCAGACTTCGATGTTGATACAGGGCTGATCCTTCATTTCCTTTGTCCCACCCCAGTGTATCACTGCATCTCTCCCCTTTCCATGTGACTGGAGGGTCTGGAAGTCAGATTAGGAAATTTTAAGTGCTCAACTTTACATTAAAAGATAACTGCAATGAGGCAATCAAGCTTCATAGTTTCTTTTGATCCCTTGTCTCTTTCCTGACATCGTTACAGTCCTTGATCACCTCTCTTTATAAAGTTTTAGTTTTTGCTCAGTCTTGACTATCTCAATGCAAAATATGGTAAAATAATAAAAAAAAGGTGTAATAGTTGTTATCGTTCCATATCCTCAGATGAAAAGATGCCTTGAAAATTCATGATGCCTCTTAACCCTCATTCCTAATTCCAAGGATTCAGAATATAGAAGACTCATTTTTGAGGAGGTTAACACTATTACTTTTCGCTGACTAACCAGACTACACAGCATTAAGTTGCTCTGAAGTTATGTGGCTTACTGCATGTTGTTCAGTATTCCCTAGTAAAGGCAAGGTTGATTGGCACCTAGGTCTAGGCTTACCGGTCTCCCATGCCAACCCATGACCAAGGACAATCTGTGTTTACATTCTGCAGTTGCATGCCAGCTGCAGGGCTAAGATGTCATCCATACCTCTAACTTACAGAAAGCGACTGGAGAAACTTGTTCACTCTTACATCACTTCTAAGATGAAGCAACCATAGTATAACACCCGAGATTTTCCGTAGTCTTTTGATTGTGCCTGTCTGCTTCCTATGTGAAGGGAGGGCTCCTGGAGAGGATCTGGATATAGGATGCTTCTGAAACTTGAATTCAAGAGAAGAGCTGCCATGTGCCAGGTAGAGAGCAGGTGTTTTCAACTAGTGATTGTGCATCCCCATGTCCTTCCACAGCTAATTGATTGTGGCACAAAGGCTTATATAAGTCGCCTAAATATTTTTGGTACTACTGTTAAATACCTGAAACACTTTTAAAATTAGTATGCACAGTAATGGGTTCGTTATGTCACGTGTGTATTTTTTGTTGACCCTCTTACCCACCTCCTGCTGGATCTCCAACCCCAGTAGCTCTCTGTTCACTTTCATGTCACATGTATTCTATTGTCAGTCTCCCCCGCACCCCACTACCACCACCATGGTCCACCATTCTCAATCTGTGGGTTGCAACCCCCAAAAGACCATTAGTAAACAGAGATGTTTACATTATCATTCGTAACAGTAGCAAATTTACAGTTACGAAGTAGCAACGAAAATCATTTTTTGGTTGGGGGGTCACCACAACATGAGGAACTATATTAAGGGTTGCAGCATTAGGAACATTGAGAAACACTGACCTAGAGGTTTTATTAGTTCTTTTACAATGCGGACCTTTTCTTTCACATGTCCAGCCTTAAGTTTGTTTCTGGGCTATTTCAATTTAGTGTTGACTTCTGTATGCTCTTTTTTTGTAGGCGTTTCTGATCTTTAATCTCCACATTTGGGGGTTGTGGCAAATTCCTCGTGCCTTACTTAGCATTGTCCTGTATACTGACCAGTGCCCCCTCCTTCTCCTTGCCTCTCTTAGAACCTGATTTCACTCCAGCTTGGCCTGACCACTCTCGTCTCCAGATGGGAACGGAGTTCTAATGGCCTTCCTGAGAATGAGGGGCACCTGTTCCTTTATTTCCTTGTAGCCACCCTCGGACCCGGCTCAGCAATCCACCCCTGGAAGAATCTAACCTACCTGATGCAGCCCTGAGTTCTCCTCAAAACCACCTCCCACCCTAGCAGCCGATGGACCCTCCCTCCTGGACTGTGTGAAGCAACCCAGCTTTTCCTTCCTTCTGGTGTGTCTCTTACACCTTGCGCCTTGTAGAGTCCCAGGTGTGAGACCAGCCTGAGGCGCGGTATTTCTACCTCATGGAATATTCTCCTGGAATATACTTTGCAGGGGAGTAACCCACAAAATAGAGGGGTTCGTCTAAGTCTGGCAGGAGTGTGGCTTGGATCAGAGCCCCTAGCTGGCAGGATGCCAGGCCTTAGTTTGTTGTCCTATGTCCTGAAAACATGAGGGACTGACAGATGCCATTTTGAGCTTATGACTTATTTGAAATCCACCCTTTAATTAAGCTTGAAGTTCAGTTTGTGGGCCACTTTGATTTTTCTCTGTATTCACTCTTGTTTACTCAGAGGGACCAGGGTGAGAGTCCTCTGAAGCTACCATTGGCAAAGACTGAAGTTATGGAATATGCTTCCATGTGTGAGTCTTGGACACTGGCTAGTCACTGTTAGAGAATCGCTATTTGTGAAGCCATTACTTGGAGGCCAAGCAGAACCGAGGATTTATAACTGGGCCAGGGACAAGGTGCTATAGTCTCAGGCTCTGGAAGTGTCCAGAGTGTACTTTTATAACTGTATGTGAGAGATATGTACATAACTGTCTGCCTCTCAGGAAGCAGGAAAACTCGAAGATACTCTGAGCTAAAAAAAAAAAAAAAAGTGGCAAGGTAAACAACAGAGCCTGGCTAGAATCAGGTAAGGGATATATGTTTACCTCAAGTGAGCCATTGTAAAAATGTGATTTTCCCCCTTGTCATCACGGAGCTTGTTTTCTGGATGGCTGCTGAGATGGGAATCAAATGAGACCTTTGGAGTAAGGACTGAGAGGATTCCCACTGAAGTTTTCTGCAGAGTAGATAGTGTAATATTAATCCCAGCTGCTGCCTACCAGAGTGTGGTCCAGAGAGCCTCCCCAAACTATCTGATGTTCTCCGTACTATTCACGTGGTGTCCCTCTCAGGCGGGAGGCTTGGGAGGCTATAGAGCAGCTCTTCCTGCTCCCTTGTCTCCCATAATTCCTACCATGGAGATAACAGCCTAGAAATCCTTATTTAGTGATTGCAACCCAGTGGTAAGCCTTAGACCTCTGGTGGTCCCCGCCAGTATCCCCGATTTTGGGTATTGAAGCCCCAACTTTAATGCTTTGTGGGACAGAGTGAACGTTCTAATCCAGGCACTGCCCATGAGCTTCCTTTGTAAAGACTTCCTCCAGTCGCCCAGCACTCAGGACAGAGCCACAGGGATGCCCTCCTTCCTTCCTATGGCTGTGACGTCTGACAGGACATGGGCTCCAGCTAGGAGGGGAGACCATCCTCACTCAGTGCAGGCCTTCTCTCTCCTCTGACAATGATTCAGGGGATGAAAGTTTGAAACATATGCCACATGTGAAGGGCTTTTGTTGTTTATATTTTTTTAATGTAAACTTGATTATTTTATTGCTAATTTAAAAATAAATGACTTTATATTGATTGCAAAACAGCTCTGGGTCCATCTCCCTGCATAACACTTTGGTGATTTGGTGCCACCATGTGGTGACTTTTGGTGCCCCAGAAAAAAACTGTCACTCAGCTTGCTCTAGTAGGAAGTAAGGGATCTGATGGGATGATAGCCAGAAGAAAAAAAGGCAACACACAGATCCCTGTGGATCTGATTTCAAGTCGAACCTGGAAACATTTCTGTGAACAAGCCAGATCCATCCATTTTCCGTCTGGTGTTTCCTGTCCCCTCCTTCCCTCTTCCGTATCTAGCTGTGCCTGTCTCCTTGTTGTCAGAATGTGTACCTGCACAGTGATGCCATTTCTCATGTAATTCTCTCTCCTTATGATGAGCAGAAGAAGATCATGATCATGATCTGCTGTATTATCCTTGCCATCATCTTGGCCTCCACCATTGGGGGCATATTTGCCTGACAAGGTGAGCTGTCTGGGGAGGGCCAGGGCTGCTGTCACTCACTTGACTGCTTGAATTCTGCTTGCTTTCATTGTATGTGAACCAGACTGCCCAATAAGGGGTGGGGGCTGGGCGCAGGACTAGGTCACTGTTAGAGAAAACCAAGGAAAGGGATGTTTTGGAGAGAGAGAAGTAGGTGAAGAATAATTGGTAGTAGGTAATCAGTGAGGGAGATGGGGAGACAAGGTAGAATCTGCCCCATGATTGAGTCTGGTAGGACAGTGCTTCTGAACAGTAAGGGATATTCATTCCTCTTGTAAAATCTGAGCCTCTGTGTCTGGAAATGGTAAGAGGAGTAAGAATTAACTTTCGCATTGAACTTGCCTTAAAATCTCCCACTTCCAAGGATAGGACAAGCCAGTACAGTTTTGAGAGTACTTTCTCACGCCTTCAAAGGAGAGGTGGTATCCTGGCTATGAAGACAATGCTGTGTAACACATGATTTTTCTTTGCATTTTCTGTTACCTCCTTCTGCCCTCACAGATGGAATCTCCACAGGCATCTCCAATCTTCACCTCTCTGGTGCCATCACTTCTCCCCTTCAGAGTCCTCAGCAGCTATGCCTCTTTTCATAGGAATCGTACGACACAGGGCACCAATCAACTGCTTTTTAAATGTCACACAGAGGGAACAAATGAATGAAGATGCAGACTTGAAGGGGGCCTGGATGAAGGATCAGGGAGCACAGCAGTACACAGCTGGTTTAGATGGTCCCTAAAGGGCAGGCCTGCGTGGTAGAGAAGCATAATGGGTCCCTGTTAGGGTCCAACACGGACAGCCTGAATGCCAGGACAGCGGTGAAGAGGCAGGTATTGAACTCTGTGAGTCTGTCTCAGATCATGGTACTCACTGCTTCTACTTTCAAAGCTCTTTCGGCTTCACCCTTAACCAACCAGATGTCTGTTTCCTTCTTCAGGGTCCAAGAATAGTTTTAAAGCATAGACTGTTTAAGGATCAGCACCAATGCCTAGCTTCAACACTGCCGTGTCCCTGTTGCTTAGCAGTGCCTGCCACTGTCACATATTTGCTTACTTGCAGTCAAGCTTGGATTCCATTCATGGATGAGTCCTTAGGCTGGGTTTTTAAACTCTTTAAGATGTGACTGGGAACATGGTTTATTATATTACTATTAGTGGCTTATGCAAAAATACTACAACCCTTCATTACCATATCATACACGTTAAAGTGGTTTTTTTTGGGGGGGGGTCGTTGCTAAGTAGAAGTTGAGTTTCTGTTGGCGGTATGGATTTCTATCAATAGCCTCTCACTTTGCAGAGATGGTGGTTGGTTTCAGGATGGAGGTTCATTAACTAAAGTTATTCCTCTGACAAGGAAGAAGTTTTTACTATGATTCAGCTCCCAATAGTTAACCAAACTGGCACATTTTGTGATCTGTAACAACTGGAGGTGTAAGGGAGAAAAGTGTGGTCAGGCTATGGCTTCTGACCACACCAGATCTGTGTTAGTAGAAACTGCTAGTCAGTGACAGGTGCAAGAAACTGGTTCAAGCACATTCCCAATCCAAGGTTTCATTGTGTTTTGATTTAAAAAAACAATTTACTTAAGAGATTATTACATTGAAGACACTCATTAAGATAAATTAAAAAACTGGGACTAAATATCCTTTTGAAAGTAAGTGAAATACTTCTGTTTTTTGTTAGAGATCTTATTTTTTAAGAAACAGGATGAAGAAACAATGTTTTATCAGTGTGCTGTTTTCTACTCACTTTCAAAAGCAAGTGGTTTAATACTGCTATCAATTTGTGTTTTAGTTTGAATAGGGAATACTGGCTAGCTCAGAAAAACAGATTAATCTTGTTATGAACAAATGGAGCTGGAACCATGAAGTTTTGGATCACATGGGACCCTCATTTATCCAGTGGTAACTTGTGTGCTCCACATACATAAGATCCTGAAGGGACAGAGAGCCAAAATGCCCTCCCTTAGATAGTTTCAGACCTAGGAAGCACCAAAGGTTTCAACTTTTGTTATCAGTTCTTTTGCTAAATGGTGTACTCCTTGTCATATTCCATGTTTCCCCTTCTGAGACTGACAGAAGATGGGCAGCTGGGTATTAATAAATATCTGTTGAACCTACTAATCCAGGTACTGTCATTTATATCCTTATTATTCCAAAAAATGCATTTGTAGTGAGCAAAATGTCATAAACTAGGCAGTATACACACTTACATTTCCAGCTGTGAGATGAAAAGCAAGTTTCAGCCCTGGAGACATGTGTGGTACAATGCAGGAAGTAAGAGTTCCTACCA